CTCTCCAGCAAAGCGAAGCCAGGAGAGCAAGAGGGATCGGTGCGCTTCAACGTAGCAACCTGAAGCCTTCGGAGCACAGCGGGACTGCGCTCCGGAGGCTGCAGGCAGCTATCCGTGAAGCCTGGAGAGCGAGAGGGGTCGGTGCGCACCGACTCCTCTCGCTCTTCAGGCTTCAGCGAAAGCAACGCAAAGCCTATGGAGCACAGAGGGAGTGCTCCCTCTGCGCTTTGGAGGCTTCGCGTTGCTATCGCTGAAGCCAAGGAGCCTGCATTCACTCCATAACACGCACACACATTTCCCCTTAATTGTTGGAGGGGGGAAAGTGTGTCTTACAGAGTGAAAAATACGGTAAATACAAAGCAGTGTAAAAGGAATTGGCAGCCATAAAATAAGTTAGATTAACAAGCAAATGAAAGCTTTTGCTTGGTGCCAAAATTATATCAAAACAGGCGTTCCTGGTCAGAGCATTCTACAGCCAGGGAATCGCCACCAAGGTCCTTTCTTCAATTGCTAGCCACCATATATTCAGTGATGTTGGCCCTCAAAGAAAAGACTCTAAATTATTTTAGGAAGGGCCATAGTTCAGGGGTAGTGTATCCATTTTCCGTGCAGAATACCCCAGTTTCAAACCCCAGGATCTCCATGTAGGACTGGGAGAGACCTGAGTTTGAAACTCTGGAGTGCATCTGCTGGTCAGTGTAGACTAGATGGGCCAGTGGTCTGACTCATTATAAGGCAGCAGCCTTCAGTATAAGGCAGCAGCCTTTGTTCTTCCTCACAGGTTTGGCTTATGGAGGAAGTCTTCATCTGTTCAGTGATTGAAGCCACACACTTGGTCCCCATGCAGCCTGATACCATCTAATTTGATGTCTGCTGCCCTCTACCTCCTCTTCTTAGAAGGAAGAAACTGGTTAATCCTTGTCCAAAAAAACAGGATGTCAAAAGCCATATTCCTCCCAAGGTTGGGTTGTTCAATGTTGAAATAACACATACATCTGTCACAGAGCCCTAGGAGTAGAGATATAATACAGAGGAAATCCAATTGTCTTGTTTAAAGCTTCTAATAAAATGATACCTTTTATTTAAATACTGCATTATGTAGTTATGCACGCGCTCTGCCTGCAGGCTCATTCCAGATGCACTAAAATGATCAGATTTATTTCCATAGCTGGTACTAACTTTTATTTGCCCATTTGTAAGTGGGGAGGTGGTAGCATCCCTTAGGGTTCTGTGGAAGGCTTCTCTCTCATCAAGAAAATGCAGGGTGCTTTGCTATTTACGAGATCCTTTATGGCTGATAAATTTATGTGGAATTATCCATAAATACTTCCGGGGGGGGGGGAGCGGGGAGAGGCAGTAGCATCATGTATTGTTTCCGAAAGAACACACATCTTTCCTCTTTTTAATGAGCGTCAGCCAAGTGAATTATAGTTCTGATTTCAGGGAGAGTTGTGACGGCACAGAAAGACCATCGGAGGATTTGTTATAATCCAGTTCAGTTCGACCCCATCAGCACTATGCATTTAAATGAGCATTATATCCATTTAAACAGTCATGGATGCCTCCTCAAGAATTCTGGGGAACTGTAGTTTGATAAGAGGTGCTGAGGGCTGTTAGGAGACTCCGTGTTCCCCTCACAGAGCTACAATTCCCAAAGTAGAATGCTTCTTCCTAAGCTCTGTGAGGGGAATAGAGCTCTCCTAACATCTTTCAGCCCGCTTAACAAACACAACTTCCAGAATTCTTTGAGAATGTTAATTTAAAGATCTTTTTCATCTCATCATAAATGAGGTTCCAGAACTCTCTAATTTCTAACTCTACTACTCAGGCAGTGCACTTCTATGCATGTTTTGGGCTTACTCTAAAGTAAGCCTGCTTAGAATTACAGTTACAAACTGTATAATAAAAACTATGGTTGCCGGGTCATCTTGAGATGTGTGAGGTGGAGCCAATGACTGAGAGGGTAAACCCTGACTATGCTTGGAGGCTCAGGAGGGTGTAGCTCAATATACTGGAGAAACAGAGCTGGAAACAAAAGCTTTCAAATCAAGCAGTTTTGTCTCCTAACCCTGAAATTTTAGCTCATTGAGGAAAATAGCTTAAAATTCAGGTCAAAGACTTCCCAATAATTTGAATAAAGACATCCCCCTCCCATGAATTCTCCCATTGTCCATGCTAGTCTTCGCTGTGAATGTGTGATAGAATCAAATCACTTTAAGCTTGTAAATACGTTGAGCAACATTCATTCTTAGGCTGCTTCTAGCTTGTAAGTTTATGCAGACTTATGCAACTGTAATGGGAAGGGGAAAGAAACAGCAAAAGAAGTTCTGTGTCATCCTTATATTTGTTTTGGAATGAGCCTTAACCACATCCACATGGAAGGCTGTCTGCATTGCTGACCTCTGGGACTCAACGGCTCAAAGCGATGAGAGAACCCAGACAAGCTGTATTCTCACCATGACTTTGCATTGTAATTCTGGCAAAGGGATGCAAGTATGATATATAGTCTCTTTTTCGGCTGGTCAAATGTGAGTGTGCTTGAATGATTATTGTTTTGGATTCCAAAACTAAGGTCACAAGCAGGATGAACCCAACAACACTCCTCTTGAAATGCATTCACTATTAAAAGTTATAAAAGGAAGCTGGAAAGCATCAATGCCAGAGATAAGATTCGGAATTCTGAACTATTTCCAGTGTAGAGTTGGGATATTTTCTTCCTACGCAGTGATTAAAAGGATGTTGATGTTTTGGTATCTAAACTCCTAAAGCTTTGAACACATTAGCGACTTAAAACGCAGCAGGGCCATTTCACTCATTATGTTTCAAGCCACATTTGCAAACTGCTGTTCACACCATGGGGGGGGGTCTTCACCTGATCCATATTACCTTTTTGGTGTGTCCCCCCACTCTCATCTGCACATGTGCTATCATCTGTGCATGCACAATGGCTGTCTCATAGGTACACACCTCAGCTGAAATGCAAAGCAGTGGGAGATGGTTTGGGGGAAAATCTGATGGAAGGTAGGTTTTTTTTGGGGGGGGCTCACCAAACAGCAGCATTTCTCAAGAAACCGCAAGGTTGATGTGGGTTGTGGTCAACATCATGTGTTCATAGCTTCAAACACCAGTGGTAGGAATGTACTGGAGCCAGATTAAATGGTAATGTATACACAACCTTAATATCTGTGTTCACGTTGGTCTGTGACAACACTCAGGTCATTATTCTAGTATGGCATGTTCCACAGCTTGGAATATCTACAGGGTTCTGCTATCAATCTTTATGATTCCCGCTGAAAAATTGTAATCTGCAAATGCAAATAATTTGCCCCAGGGCATACAGGAATGACTCCTGCCCTTTGAGCCACCTCACAGCCCTGCCTTTGCCTCACAGCAGGATTTTGGTTTCGGATGCAAACACCACTGAACACATTGAAATGTACTTCTGAGTAAACATGTATAAGATTGGGTTTTGATTCTGTTGAGGCAGTTGCCTCGTTTTGCGTTCCCATGTTTCCCAGTGTTTCATAAAGCAACAGACTCCTAAAACTTAGAATTTCTCTGAGCTTTTGAACCCCCTTCCCCATTTTCTAAATTTATGGGGCACTACAGGGGTTCCTCTTCTCAGTGCCACTCCTCTACAGTGTGCAAAAATTCTTGCACAAAATTGTGTGCTCATAAAGTCTGCTGCTAAATGTTTTTTAAAAGATTCAGTTACAGATAGGTAGCCGTGTTGGTCTGCCATAGTCAAAACAAAAAAAATTCCTTCCAGTAGCACCTTAAAGACCAACTAAGTTAGTTCTTGGTATGAGCTTTTCCTGTGTATCTGAAGAAGTGTGCATGCACACGAAAGCTCATACCAAGAACTAACTTAGTTGGTCTTTAAGGTGCTACTGGAAGGAATTTTTTTTTGTTTTAAAAGATTGTTTTTGAGATTGCTTTTTGCAAACATCGTGTGCATCCCTGTTCTCCAGTGCTCACACTGCTCCTGCACAAATGATTTCCATGTTCACTTCAATGTAGGGGGCTGTTCAGTCTGCGCATTGCACACCAGGAATTTTCTCCCCCACTGAAGTGAATGGGGAGGCCACTCCATGCATGAGATCCATGAGCGTGTTAACCTGTATCTTCTCCCATTGCCTGAATTCCAGGAGTTGCCACCATGGAATTTCCTGTCCATGGTGGCCCTTGTTTCCTACTGGTGGGTGGAAACAAAAATGGGCCACTTAATTCATTCTATAGTTCTGCACCACCTTTGATGAGAGCTTTCTTCCTTTTTAACTAAGGGCTCTGTTGGTGCGTGAGCATCTACTCTTGGGTTTTCATTTCTTTCTGCAGCAGAGTTCCTTTTACAAAAAAGTTTTCCTTCATCTTTTACTTCTTTACATCAGCAGCAACATTCCAGCTATCTCTTCGTGAAATTCCCTTTACAGGAATAGACACCATTTGGTTCTGTTTCTCAGTTTTTATTATTTACAAAACTTTACACAGGTCAATAACAAATAAAACAAGATAATCTTTTTCTCTTTTAGCCATTCTGCCAGAGACCTAATGCTGAATCATTCACATGCTCATTTACACTAGCAACTTGTTCAAGACCATTTTCCAGATTTCTTCTAGAATCTTCCAACAGGCTCATCCATACTTTGCGTGTCCCTTGATTTCTAGGCACAGGCCCGAGAGCTTTTTCTTTTGCCCTGTCACTTTCCCTGGGAAAACCCACTGTCTACTGCTGAATCGGAACAAATGTCAATCTGCAGAAAACCCAATTGATGTTTGTTTTGATTCAGCGGTAAACAGCGGGTTTTCCTGGGGAAAGCGGCAGGGCGGAAGAAAAACCTCTGAGAATCATGCCCAGAAATCACAGGACACAGCGGAAATGTGGATGACCCCAAACATTTCAGCAAAGTTTCAAGCAGGTCAAACGTTTGAAACCTGGGAGCCATTTGCCTGATTTATAATACTGTGAAACCAATTTGCTTATGTGTGTTTTGCCTTTAAAGGAACTCTCTGAAGATCCTCACTTGGTTGTCAATGGAATCAGTTCCCACGACTTGCACCAAGGGAAGCTGGGAAACTGCTGGTTTGTGGCAGCCTGCTCTTGCCTGGCCCTTCGGCAGAACCTCTGGCAAAAGGTACTGTGCTACTGAGCAACAGACGAGGATTCCCAGGGCTCTAAAGCGATGGGTGTCAAGGACGCTAAAGCCAGCTACTCTGGGAATACTTTTGCTTTTAGACAGTAATAACGATAAATCATATGTGGTTTAGGATCCCAAGTCCTTTTGATCTTGGAAGAGAAACAACTGGTGTTTCTTTCCATGAGTGATTTTTTTAATGAGCACATCTGGATGGGGAGGCAGGATCAAATGCAGCCCTCTTCCCTTCAGAACTCTCCCCAAGCCCACAGTCCTCACACACTTGGCTTCATCCACCGATTGAGTGTTTTTGATTGGATGGAACTATGATTGTGGCCCCTGGAAGGTCACCAAGAATGCAAAGCAGCCCTTGATCTGAAAAAAAGTTTTTCATCCTTTGGCTGACCAATTTACTCTGAATGAATAATTTTGTAAAACCATCCATTTCCCTAACAGGGCAAATAGGATCTGAGGAGAGGTGATTCGTATCAGGAAGAAGGTGTGGGAGGAAAGGCTTAGCCTCTTCTCTCAGCTCTACTGTCCCAAACCAATCCCTTCTACCTTGTACAGTGGTACCTCTAGTTACAAACTTAATTCATTCCGGAGGTCCGTTTTTAACCTGAAACTGTTCTTAACTAGAGGCGTGCTTTCGCTAATGGGGCCTCTTGCTGCTATTGTGCTACTGACACACAATTTCTGTTCTCATCCTGGGGCAAAGTTCTCAACTTGAGGGAACTCTTCCAGGTTAGCAGAGTTTGTAACCTGAGGCGTTTGTAACTCGAGGTACCACTGTATCCCCTTTTGAAACTAATTGAAATATAGATGCGCTCTCTCTCTCTATATATATATATGGATCTCCAGCATCTTGCCTTGTTTAAGCCACAAAAACTAGCATGACTTGCTGCAAACCATTGGTGTGTCTGTTCTTCTACATTCTGCCCCTGTTGAAGGTGCAGAGCTCCAGTTTTAGAAATCTGGCAGGGGGCACAGAGTGGAGGTGAGAGCATATCTATGGTGGTTATTTCAGGTTTCACATACATGGGCTTAGTTACAGTTAGGGAAAGAGTGATGAGCAGGAAGATCAGGGTCTGCTGGAAAAATCTCTGGGTGATTTCCAGGAGATTGGTAAGGAAAAGTTAGTAGCCTTTCTTCTAGGGCTATAAGAATGATCTTAACTAAGAAGGAATTTAAATTGTTTCCTTGTAATGGAAGTCTCCCCCTCCCCAATTACAAATCCATGTTTTTTGGGGTCTGATTATTTTTTTAGTGGATCCATTTTATCAGTTAATCGAGAAATGTTTCCTGCCTCAATGCTTGGAGTAATTCTCTGTTTCTTTGGACACTTTAGGTGGTTCCAAATGTTGAGGAACAGGACTGGGTTTCAGATAATCCAGATCAAAATGTGGGGATATTTCACTTCTGCTTCTGGCGTTTTGGAGAATGGATTGATGTGGTCATAGATGACCGCTTGCCAACTGTAGACAATGAGCTGATCTATTGCCATTCTAACGACCGCAATGAATTCTGGAGCGCCCTTCTGGAGAAGGCCTACGCAAAGTACGTGATTGCTTTGACTTGGCACAATTTCTGTTCTTTCAACAAAATGAAAACTGCCTTGTAATGTTGTTACAAAATGTTTTACAATCTTACCAAAACCAAGTGGTTTTAACAAATTGCCCATGATGATCTTGGGGCCCCTTCCTACCTCATGCCTTACATAGAATACACAAATTATCTAAGAGTGATAGGGGGTCTGCAGTAGAAAGACTAAATTAAAAAGTGCTGATTTTCACTTTCCCTGCTGTGCATAGAATACACATGTAGCATGGTCAGATTGGGAGGGTTTCCTACAAGAAATTTCATGGAGACAGAAGTACTATAATGGACTCCCTCAACAGTCCAGATAAAGTTGGCAAGGTATCCATACCCAGTGCTATTTTTCTAGAAAGCGAGGTGCCAGAACTCACCATGAACCCTTGTTCTCTTATAATGACAATAGTGCCCACTTGAGAGGCGCCAGACCTGAGTTCTGGCAAGTTCTGGATGAAAAGAAGCCCTGTCTATACCTGTAGGTAATGCATAGCTCTCCCTTGACAGCACAATTCTACTCTAGTTCAAATTTAATGGGGCTTATCTGCAGGAGAGTGGGTAGTTGCAGGAAATGGCTAGGAGGACATAACTAAAGGGTGTATGCCTTTCATTCTCCCACTCTGAGCTAAGGATGGTGAGATCTAGGTCTCTGGGTAAACAAATGATAGGAAGCAGCAGTTTTTGTAGGGGGCTAAGACTAGCTAGCGAGATGGCAAGGCAGAGAATTGAGTTTTAGCTTGACCAACTTACATCATTTTGGAGTTCTGGCTGCCTTTCTCTGGAGATATGATGTGGGGTAGTGGATTTCCCCATAGGTTGGAGTATTTAAGCTCTGCCTGCTCCACCTTTGCCCAACCCGTGCATTTTTAAATAAACCCAAATATTACAAAATACCAACAAGAGTCTAGTGATCTCCTAACAAAGGCAATGAAACCTAGGTAAGCACGATGCCTCTAGAGGGGAGGAGGGAGGCAGCCCATTGGGAGCAGCGAAACCTTCATATATCTGGGTGTGTCCTCAATATACATTGTGTTACCACTAGGATGGCCGGGTCTTATGAAGCCCTGGATGGTGGCAACACCGCAGAGGCCATCGTTGACTTCACAGGAGCAGTTGCAGAATCCATTGACATGATTGATGGCCACTACAGCCATGATATCATCGAGCGGGCGAAACTCTTTGAAGACTTGCTGAAGGTGCAAAGAAGAGATGGATTAATCAGCTGTTACATCATGGTAATTTTATATTACTAAGAGAAGGAGCATTTAAAAAAATTATAATAATAGTTGCTTGTCACCCAGAAAGTCTCTTAGAAAATATATATCCCATTCAAATGTGGAGGAGGATTCAAATGATGCATAAAAATTCCATACAGCATGGTAGGGGAAACAAAAAATAAGAAAAAAACCAGTCCCCACCCCATAACAATAATAAGAAACAACATTAGTAAACAATAAATGAAACAATACTCCAACCCACTAACTAACAAATTATCTAAGAGTGATAGGGGGTCTGCAGTAGGAAGACTGAACTAAAAAGAGCTGATTTTCACTTTCCCTGCAGTGCAGTCACAGGAGCCTGAGTTGTGTGTGTATATGTGCATGTACGCTCCATACTGACATTTTCGATGGGAGAATGACAAAGCGTAAGAGATGTCTGGAGCTGTGCATGGAGTGAGAGTTCACCCGTAGTTCCCTTGAAGGCACACTGGATTGTCGGAAGACAAATCTGTGTGGAAAGAGCTCCCTGGGGATAGAAGCTGTGAAAACCAAATCTGCAATCTAATCTGTCCCTTGCTATGCTCTTGACTCTTCACAGAAATGTGAGGTTCCACCCCCTTTGGAATAGGGCAAGGGATGAATAATTCCTGGATCAGACATAGATGAATAAAGCAGAGTTTTCCAGCTTCCAGTCCAAGCTTCTACTGCCTTCCCAGTTTGTTTGTTTGCTTATTTCTCATAGTCACAATCAATTTTCCAAACACTCATTTACAGCAGACAAATTGTCATTTGGTGCTGATTACAAATTCCAGGAGAGCAGTTGTGTTGCATTTTTTTTTATTTGCTTGCTTGCTTACTTGCATGCAAATAAATAAAATGCAGCAGAACTACTCTCCTGGAATTTGTAATGACCACTCATTGGTGATTATTTGCTTGTGTACTTAACCTACAAGCAGTTCTAAACTGCTTAATAGTTTAAAATACAACATAAAAACCTATAAAATGGTATTATACAACAGACAAAACCCTGGAAAATGGCAAAGAATCACATGGCATTTCTTGGTGTCTTAGTTTTACGAAATTGCCTTTATTATACCATTCATAGGCCACTTACTTGTGTACATTCAGTGAAGGGATATGTATATACACACATGTGTGTTTTACAGTGCATGATATAAGGGGAAGGGCCATAGCTCAGCGGTAGAGCATATGCTTTGCATGCAGAAGGTCCCAGGTTCAATCCTTAGCATCTCCATGTAGAATTGGAGCAAACCCTGCCCTAAGTCCTGGAGAACCACTGACAGACAGTGCAGAGAGCAGAGAGCTAGATGGCCCAATGGTCTGACTCCTTGGAAAGGAGCTTCCTATATACCTATTAGACCCAATAATGCTTTCATTCTGTTGGCATCAAGATGACAAATTTCTGGGTAGAAGCAACCTTGCATGCCTCCCTTGCATGGAATTATAGTGGAATATAGCACATGTTTAGCACTCTTTCCAATATTTGCAGACAGTTTTTTCCCCTGGAAGCAAATATGAAAACAAGCACTAAGCATGCTCTATAGTCCAGCTCCAATGAATTAAACTGCCATGCAAATGCAGCCTCAGTCAGACATTGGCCATCAAACTCAATTTGGTCTACACAGACTAGCAGCTGCATGCAGAGGAGTAGGGAAACCCATACAGGGCTATAAGAACCCCTGGAATGGATTTAACCCAGGGGCTTATGTGAACATGATGTTCATTTGTAGAATGGCTATCTTACCCAGGACTCTGTAACAAGCAGCACCCCAGTCTTTTGATAGACTGAACAAAATACATTGCTCGTAGCAGCTCACTGGAACACAGGATGGAGGCCATTGTTCCAACTAGCCCAGTGTTTTCTGCATAGACTGGCAGCAGCTGTCTTGCGGTTTCGGACAGTGGACATTCTCCCACTCCCCACTGAGATGTTACAAATGCAACCTGGGACCCTCCACGTGCAGAGCAGGCACTGAGCTCGAGGCCTTTCTTTGTCTCTTCTTATCTTGTATGAAGACATTCCATTTGGCTTGCATTAAGAGTAAATAGCGGATGTGGCTAAGAAAAGCATATGGTGCTCTTCATTTATCTAGCCAACTGGTTTCAGACACTCAAGGCTATGGTTTTCTCTTGACCTGTGGTAAAAATACACATGGCATGGAAAATTCAAAGCTGTGTAAGATTCTCCATGTGAAAGTCCATCAACATTCCCAAGTTTGACTCTGGTTTTGGAAAAAAGCAAAAATTGCCGACAGAATATCAAGAAGCATACAAACAGGAGCTGATTGGTTGTGTGATGGACGGTTTTCTTCAATTGCACCAGTTGTGCCTCTGAAAATTGCTCCATGGGGACAAGAGCAATATCAATTCAACATCAAGCTTAAATGAACTTCCCTCACAACTTAGCTTCTAGCAAAGGTGGATGTGTTTGCAAACGCTATTACGTGTTTCTACACAGAGTTTTTAATTAATGTGTAGCTTTATAACTCAAAATAGAAAGGTGATGCTACATGTTTTGGTTTTATCAGGTGACTGAGAGATCCTGCGTTTGGATACAGAAAACATTGGTGTACTAAGAATTGCTTTTCGTAATAAAATAAAATTTGAAAAGGAAGCGGGTTACAATTCAGGTTGGCAAGTCACCACCAAGATTAATGGAAATCTTTTTCAGTCTTTGCAGCTTTAACAAGAAGGAATAGTGCTATAACTCCTTATGCTGTCATGGAAACGCATGCTGTGTTGTTTGTGAAGAATACAAGTGAATAATTGTTAGGACTGGTGAGAAGCCCATGGGAAATGCCAGTGGATCTCAGTATAACTTATGAAGTGATTCTCTGTGAACTGCAGTTATGGTCAGACATGGTGGATTTGGCGTTAGTTAACACTGATCGTGACTTTTAGAAAACCGTTCACTGATTTGTGTTTTTATTATTATTCCCTCACTCACCCACCCCACCCCCAGCTTTAGAATGTTTTGCTTTAGTTGCCGTTATTATTGGTGGCAGCAGTGTGTATAGGAACAGGCAGTCCGGAACATGGACAAGTAAGTAAGAGGAAAGAAGCCTAGAAGCAGAGGTGTGTGGTCAATAAGGACTAGAAGATTCAGTAGATAATTAATGCTCTCCAAAGCTGGGGTGTGTAAATCCTGGCAATGAATCTCAATGAACTGAGATGCTAAGACAACAGTTCCAAACTATCCAAAGTTATACTGTGCTAGAGAGGCAATACACAACATGTCAGAGCATGTGTGTTCCCCCCCCCAAAAAAAGCAGGTATTTTTTTGGGAAGGGGTGAGAGTCTGCACGGTGCTTTGAAGCACTGCTGGCCCAGCAGGCTTGAAGTCAGTGCTGATCAGCAGTGACCTCCAGCCAGTTTTCTGTAGCGATGGGCTGTGTGATAAAGTTCCTTATGGGGAGCTTGGTTGAGCAGCTGAGCCAGCTATGTCTCCACCTGCCCCACCCCTGATGCCACGTATGAAGTCAGATTTGGGGCAGATGGGCGTTGGGAGCCAAATTGGCCCGTGAGTCAGAGGTTCACCACCCTTGCTTTCGAGGATCTTAGGACCTTGTGTTAAAGTCAGAACAATACTGGGGTCAGGGGGGCAAAACTGATGAAGGGACCCAGAGGATTACTTAAGAAGAAGGAAATACTAGATTCTGTGTTCCTCAAAGACTTTTGAAATCCCTGCATTAAGTCATGTTTTTCTTACGCCGCAGCCTTTGTCCTCTGATGAATTTGAGGGACAGACTGAAATGGGTTTGGTCAAAGGCCATGCCTACTCGGTGACAGAAATCCTGAAGATGCCCCTGGAAGAGAAGTGCCTGCCATGGCAAAAGACTAAGAAACTCTTCATGATCAGGTTGAGGAACCCCTGGGGAAAGAGCGAGTGGAACGGTCCATGGAGCGATTCGTAAGCAAAGCATGCTTTGATATTTAGGATGCGCTTGTCACTTTTTGAGAGAGGTACAGAGGCTAAAAGGAACACACTCTCAAGTGTGGAAACATTTCCAAGGGACACATGAAGACAGGCAACATGGTGGTGGCTGGCTCCATTTAGAGCGGGGATTCCCAAACTTGGGTCTCCAGCTGTTTTTGGATTACAACTCCCATCATCTCTAGCTAGTGGGACTAGTGGGTTTTGTCTTGTTTTCTAAATCATGTTAATGTAGAAGCAGAAGGAAATAGTTTGGGCAAATATATGCATTTTCAGTCTCTGTTCCTTACAAATTATTTCCTTCTGCTTTTGCAGAATCATCATTAGCCTGGAGATAAAAAAACTAGGGCACCCAGGAAAATGGTTGTAAAATAGTCTTCTCCCTGATATGCTAGTTTTGTAGGTTTCTTGTTTTATAGGGAAGACCATCATGTATACACATGCAAACACAAACACAAGTGGGCTCTTCCACACTTCCTCTCATCTTGCCACTTTTCTCCTGGGAAACCTACTCTTTACTGCTGAATCAGAGCAAACATCAATCAGATTGCCTGTGGATTGATGTTTGCTTTGATTCAGCAGTAAAGAGGGTTTTTTCCAGGGAAGTAAACCCAAAATTCATTCATTCACTCATTCGCACATGATTCTCCCCCTCCCTATTTTATCTTCACACCCAGTGAGCTTTATGGCTGAGGGGGGACTTGGTCTTCCAGGTCCTATTCAGGCACTTTAACCACTATGTCATTCTACCTCATTTTTTAAGAAACAATTTTACATAGAGCCCCTGAAAATAGACCAATGAACCTGGCAGACAATGAACCTGACAGACAATGAACCTGATAAGCCCTGCCTGGAGATGCTGGGGACTAAACTTAGGTCCTTCTTCATGCTAAGCAGATACTCTACCACTCAGCTTATGGCTCTTCCCTTTAAATATATGTTTATACAAATGAAAGAGCTATTTGATTTAACATTGTTCCTCCCCTTCAGATCAGAGGAGTGGAAAAAGGTGAGCCAAGCAGAACGGAAGAAATTAAGACTCACTATTGAAAACGACGGAGAGTTCTGGTGAGCAATGGTCTCATTAAGGCAGCTTTAAGACATTTATATGTCAAGACAACTGAAAGGCCCATAACATTTCATAGGCAGGAAGAGGGAAATTAGGGTGGAGGCACTGCTCCAGCCTCCAGCACCACCACTTTCCCATTTCATCCAGCCTCAGCTCCAGGTTTTGGAGGGCCTTGGCAAGATACTGCTCATCAGTGAGTCTACTTACTCAATGCAGTGGGTCCTGGTGGCTCTTTTAGGAGGTCCTCTGAATGGGTGGGAGCCCTTGGTGTATGCTCAGCCATGCCAAACTTTGATGCTAGTCCTGGCTTCTGCCCATCTCTCTACCCTCCATCTCTGCTATCCAACCCACTCCTTGAAGATATCCCTCTTTTTCTCTCCTCTCACCCCTGCAGTATTCTCCTGTCTAGCCCAACCAAGCACCTTTCTGCCATTCAGTCGCTCTAGCAAACAACTGCTGTCTCTATGGCTGCATTTACTTGGCAGTTTATTCCACTTCCCCAACACTTCTCTGTGAATTTCCACATTATGGGTGAGCTTAGATGGTTTTTTCTTAATGTAAGAGAGGATATATTAATTGCAATTTACCCCTCCAGACACCCACATTTGTGGGTTGAACATATACTGCACAGAGTTTAAAGTCCTATCCTTAGCAGAAAAATGGAGAGCATATAGGATTAGGCTGTGTCTTCTTTGAATTAAGCCCAGCTGCAAAGTAAGCTGGCTCCCCCATTTCTTACTCCACTTAACAGAAAATAAAACAACAGACTGAGAAGTCAGTTTAAAATATGATTTACTTGCTCTTAGTCTTAGTCTTCATTCTCAACAGCAGTAAAGTAAATGCAGACAAAATACTTATATTTACAGTATAAGCAGCCTCAGGCATGTGCCTGAGAATGGAATAGTTAGATATATGTCTGCTCCCATTGCTGGTCAAAGAGAAAGAAAGAGAGGGAACAGTAAATACTTCCTCAATTATGCCCGCTCAAGAGAGGAGAAAATGACATCACACAGAGCCCTCTCTACCAAATTATATTTCTATGGTCTGAGTCTCTGCCTATCAGCAGTTCAGCTCTGTGGTCTTAACTCCATCTCTTGCTGACTTGCAAGAATAGGTGTTGTTAGATCTGGCTGCTAATTTCCCACATTTATACAATGTAAAAGCTACTTGCAGAAAACTAATGGAAGGATAGTGCATGTTTTATGCTCATTTCTGTGTCATTTGATTCCTGCAAAATTGCAGCCTCCTTAGCCCCCAAAATCACAGGAGGGAAGTGATAAAGTTTGCAGTGGCATCATACCAGCATACAGTTTTTCCCTGCTGTTATCCTGAGGGAATCATGGGGAAACGGAAGGATGCAAGTGCAGAAAGGGTGGGGGTGTATGTAGCAAGGTACAATTGTCATTCTTTGTTGTGCCACACTATGCCCACTGGGATGAATGAAATTTAGCATGACATGCTGGTATATCAGTCCAAAAACCACAGTTCCATAACACCACAGGTGAAAGGAGCATCAGAAAAATGGGACAGAAGTGCAAGCATTATTGTAACCTGTAAAACTAGTGCGGTATTCCCCATGCCTGTGTCTGTAGCTATGCCCCACCTTTTAGTGTGGGCTTAAGTGCAGAGAGATAGCAGCAGAAGGGAAAGTGCTGTTTCTACCAATTAGATACATGCTTGTGTAGTAGGTGAGTTTGTGGGGCTGGTTGTTTCTGTTATATTTCACATCTGCTAAATTACCTAAATAATAATTGTTCTGTTTTTAAATATATTGACTAAATGAGATGTCCCGAGCATTGAACATCCCACATTTTTCTTACTTCTTTCTTTTCTTCTTCTGGAAAGCCACGGAGTGATGCAGGGTAGGGATTTGAAGTGCACCACAGTGTGTGTGTGTGTGCGTCTGTGTTGTGCATTTCAAATCCTTTCCTTGCCCATGTCCTGTGCCACAATCCTGCGACTCTCTAGGCCAGTGGCTCCCAGTTAGCTAAGTACTGTGGACCCTCTGTTTTTCAAAAGCCAAGCCATGGAGCCCCTACTTTTGAAAACATGGATATTTCTATTGTAGTTTCGTTATGTGAATGGTGCCACCATACCCTCCAGAATGTCCCAGTGCAAAACTAGGATGTCCATCTTCTGGGCTGCACTCCCATGCAAGTCATGTGGCCTGTGCAAGAGCACGGTGCCCCAAAACACATGTGTTATCTGTCCACAGGAAATTCAACTGTATTTTTTTCTACTCTCTGAGTTAGGATGTCGTTTGAAGACTGGTGCAAAAACTTCACCGATGTTGATGTCTGCCGGATTGTGAACACGTCCTTTTTTAGTATACATAAGACCTGGGAAAAGAAAATGATTCGTGGAGAGTGGAAAAAGAATCGAGACCCAATGTTAAACCGCGCTGGGGGGTGCTTAAATAATGCAGCCACCTTCTTCCAAAACCCACAGGTTGGAGCACAGTTATACTTGCTTCCCCCCCCCCTCCTTCACCAGTGTTAAACTTATATGGAAATAATTACGCAGCAAAGCAAAGCTGAGCCGACAGTTTTCCTGCCGTGCCTTTCAGCTTCAGATTTAGGGGCAGGAAGAAGATACTGCTCCCAAAACTGCTTTATGTTTTTGCATCACAGCCAGTTTGCCAGTGCTGGGTGGAAGTACTAGTCTAGTGGTTTTCAACAAGCATGCTGTGGCACGCTGGGGGGCCTTGAATGATGGTCTGGGGTGCCGCAGGTAACACTGGCCTCTGTCCTTCTTTCTTTCCCTCTCTCCTCTAATGCCCTCTTGTGTCTCTGTCTCCCAAAGGCTTGCACATCTGTTTGTTTGCAGCTGCCTTGCTGCTGCCACTGCTGCCTCGCAAGTTAAGGTGCTGACCTCATGTTCACCTTTGGCCAGTTTCCATTGGTCCACTAAGGCTGGGGGCATCCTCTGCCCAGGCCCCTGTGAGGCAGCATGAGGAGGTACCTCTCTTTGGGGCAGGAGGGGCAGCTCAGAGACCAGGGGTGGAAGCAGTGGCTGCCCGGAGGACTCCCAAGGAGAGGAGAGGATCTCCCCAAGGGAGGAGGGTGTTTGAAAAAGGGTGAGAGGCTGCCAGCTCTGCAGGCAAGAGGTGACATGACTGGGCTCCTGATCCCCACAGGGATGCTGCAGAAAGAATGTAGTTGGTCAAGGGAGCCGTGGACTCAAAAAAGTTGAAAACCTCTGTACTAGTCTAATTCTGATTTAGATAGCTTTATCCTGTGGTTACCCATAAATCTAGTTTGTTCCATTTCTATATCATCATCATCTTCAAGATCTTCATCATTCTATTCTATTCTGATCTGATCTGATCTATATTAGAGGCATTCGGAATGTTATTTTTGAAGGTCAAGTCTGCTCCCTACATGCAGCCTATATTCTGCAAAAACTGAGGGCACAGATCACTGGTGTTTGCCCATTGAACATGTGAAGGTGAAGGGCAGGGCATAGGGGCACAATTCTAACCCCAACCCAATGCAGTTTAAGGGGGAAAGTGTACAGGACTAAAAAGGAGCTCTGGATTTAACCCAGGAGGATATGACTGGTCTTGTGAGCATGATAATTCCCATAATGTTCATTTGTTTGTGGAGTGACTGCCGTGCATAGGACTTTGGAACGGACAGCACCCCAATCCTGTGATAATCCATTGTTAACAACTCAGCTACAGGCATTGTTTACAGCAGCGGCTGCTCCGCTACTGAGCCACAGCCCTCCCCTCACCCTGTGCTCCTCTTCCTTCTCTTTAAGTATATCTTTGATGTCAAGAAGTCGCAGGACAAAGTGATGATCTGCCTGCAGCAGAAGGACAAGCGCATTTACAAAAGAGAAGGGAAAGGGGACAACTTGGTTATTGGCTTTGAAATCTTCAAGGTAGGTGTCCATGCTGCATGCCAAAGCTGTTGGAGTTTGTTAAGAGCATAAGAACATAAGAAGAGCCTGCTGGGTCAGGCCAAACACATACTACCTGCTACTAGAGAAGAAGCAGGAAGGCCTGAAGGGAGGTAATCTACTTTACCAGTAAGTAGTTACTAAAACAGAAGGAATCAGTGCCACACACATATTTGCACACATGCTGGTTCAGCTAGCTTATTGCAAGCATTGCTGCATCACTCCCAGCAAAAGCATAGGTATAGGTAGACATAGGCAGAAGGTAGGTCAGGATCTACTGGTACATCTATGAGTGATTTATAGTAGAGTGGCACAGGTTTCCTACTTGCAAGGTGACCTTTTCCATGTGCAGGCTTTTATACAACGTGGCTGTGAGCTCAGTTCAGTTCTGATACCAAAAACGAAATCCTTAGTGCACTTTAAGACACTCAGTTCTTCAATTCAAATGGTGTGACTTTTGCACCAGGCGTTAGTTGACAGAGCAAGTGAAAACACACAAAAAACACCTCTGCTCTCCACCTCTGCTCTATCTTTATCTTTATGCCTGTTTGAAGTCACAGCATAGGATCTACCTCACTCTCATGTTGTGTTAGATTGCTCTATGCTATGCTATGCAATCTGCTTTCTAACCCTAGGTTGAGGCCAACAGAGAGTATCGAATGCATAAAGTGACAGTGCAAGAGAAAATGGCAACTTCCATGTACATTGACAATCGCATGGTATTTTCGAAGTTGTGCCTCAAGGAAGGCCGGTATGTCCTGATCCCAACCACCTTCAGACCTGATACTGAAGCTGAATTCATTCTGAGGCTGTTCACAGATGTGCCATCGGAGCTCAGGTACCACGACTACTTGAAGATGACAGCAATTTTCCCTTCCCATTTCTCCCCGGCTTGCATGAATAACATGCTCATCTGTCTTAGACCAAGGAAGCAAAAGATTCAAAGAGTGATGATGAGGGAGATAGATGTACAACACACTTCGGTGGGGAGCACTGACATGATGACTGCAACAAGGGGTGCACCCATTTCTTGTGAGGATGACATTCACTGTGGTTTCAGGGATCACATTGCATGCAACCTTTGTGCATTTGTCCCATGCCAGTTTACCACCACTCTCATTTCTCTCAATTGCAATATTTCCCAAGGGGCAGTATTCAATGTGAAGCTGCCTTGGGAGTGGAGATGCAATTTTCTTACCCCCAGATTCCACACAGTAGGAGATGGTTCTACACCCATTCACAAAAGGACTGACATGATGGCAGCAAAAAGGGCTGCACCCATTTCTTGTGAGGATGACATTCACTGTGGTTTCAAGGATCACATTGCCTGCAACCTTTGTGCATTTGTCCCATGCCAGTTTACCACCACTCTCATTTCTCTCAGTTGCAATATTTCCCAAGGGGCAGTATTCAATGTGAAGCTGCCTTGGGGATGGAGATGCATTCTGTTCACCTCCAGATTCCACACAGTAGGAGATAGTTCTACACCCATTCACAAAAGGACTGACATGATGATTGCAACAAGGGGTGCACCCATTTCTTGTGAGGATGACATTCACTGTGGTTTCAAGGATCACATTGCCTGCAACCTTTGTGCATTTGTCCCATGCCAGTTTACAACCACTCTCATTTCTCTCAATTGCAATATTTCGCAAGGGGCAGTATTCAATGTGAAACTGCCTTGGGGATGGAGATGCAATCTTCTTTCCCCCAGATTCCACACAGTAGCAAATAGTTCTACACCCATTCACAAAAGGACTGACATGATGATTGCGAAAAGGGGTGCACCCATTTCTTGTGAGGATGACATTCACTGTGGTTTCAAGGATCACATTGCATGCAACCTTTGTGCATTTGTCCCATGCCAGTTTACAACCACTCTCATTTCTCTCAATTGCAATATTTCCCAAGGGGCAGTATTCAATGTGAAGCTGCCTTGGGGATGGAGATGCAATCTTTTTACCCCCAGATTCCACACAGTAGCAAATAGTTCTACACCCATTCACAAAAGGATGCAAGATTGCCTTTCTACTGGTGTTTGATACTATCATTTATTGTTTATCATTCTTTTTCCTTTATATAAGTGTCAAATAGAATAAAGTGTTCTTCCTTTTTGTGCATTTATGTTTTCATTGGCTTTCCTGCTGTACAGATACAAATTAGGTCGAACAGTGGAACATGACAGATTTGATATACCTCTTATCGAGCTGGAGAGTGCCTCCTTTCCCCATATCAGAACAGTGCTGTGTCCTCTGTGAGGTCCCATTCAATTCTAATGGGCTGTGCCTAGAAGATATTCTGAACACACATATCACATGGTCTTTGTGTTCCCAGCTTCTAAAGAATTAGTATATGCTTAAATGCAAAGTGCTCAAGAGTAAGATACCTATGCAGTGTTGCACACATCCAGGTTGTTCTTGCAATCAGAATGTTGCATTAAAAATTCAAAAACAGAAGAAAAGAAGAAATGTTGCAGAATCTGTAGCGTGCTATGCTGACATGCTAATGAACCATGCTTAGTAGCTGAGCACCCAGTTTTAATGAGGCATGGGGTGTGTGCTATTTCCTACAGCAGAGTTTAAATTGGGTCTTACTATCTTGTTGTCATGGGACCACAAAAGGGAGAAGCATTTCTTTGTTATATCTCATAGAGATATATGTGCCTTACTCATGTATGGTCTATTTCTGTATTGACTGCAATTCCCTGTAAAAAGCACATGTTTTTGTATGCTCAGCTGTGGTCATGCTCCAGGGGTGCCCTCAGGAGCTTAGCATCCCAGACCCAGGAGGCATGAGTCTCATCAAAGCACTGAAGGCAGGCTTGCAGGAGCAACACAGTCCAAACAAGCCGAGCTCAATCACAGAAAATAGTCTAGGTCCAAATGTGAGTGAATATTGCAGGAAATTCAGCAAGGTGGTCACCTGGGAATTGGGAGCCAGAGCCCCATGTTATTTCCAGCAAGTGGGGGGCTCAAGAGGGTGGCCTTACATACGCTGTCTTTTTAGACCACGTCCTAATCACTGCTGCTGTTAGTGAAAGAGCTCCAGTGATCGCTCACTCATGACTAGTGTGATGGCTCTGGGGTTGTAGACACATGTTCTGCCATTGCTCTTCAGGCTAGACTTGGAGCTTTCTGACACCAGCATTCTTGAGGATGTGGGTGGCCCTGCCTCCTCCTCTGACATCTCGAGAGACTCTTCAGCAGGCCTCAACTTGGGTGGCCCCTCAAGGGGATCATCTGCACCAGCTTCAGGGTCCTCAAGGCCCTTAACATGTGGGGTGCCTGGCTAAGAGGACTAAAAATCCTCTTGGGGCTAAAAATAACACCTACACGTGAGCAGCTGCACACAATCAGGACAGCTGGGACCAATGGTTCATCCTGGGGGGGGGAGTGGCAAGTGGGGTGCTGTGGGGCCTGGTGTTCAACATCTTTACAAATAATTTGAAGAAATTGAGGGATCAGGATTCAGGGTGGCTTTAACATATTGAAGGACTGGGCCAAAACCATTTTTTAAAGTCCCATTTCAGTAGGTACTAATTCAAGGTTCTACACATAGGCAGGAATACTAGGATGCACAAATACAGGATGGGAGGGGGCACCTGGCTTGACAGAACACATGAAAGGGATTTAGGGGGTCCTAGTAGCTTCAGATGGGCGAACAGTATGATACAGCAGCAAAAAATTAGTTAATCTTATTCTAGACTGCATCAACACTAATATAGTGTTCTGATCAAGGAAAGGAGTAGTACAGTGCTATTCTGCCTTAGTCAGACCACACCTGGAGTCCTGTGTCCAGTTCTGGGCATGACAACTTAAGAAGAATTTCGACAAACATGTTCAGAGGAGGGTGTCAAAGATGACCAAGCACCTGGAAATCAAGCCTTGGGAGTTGGGAATGCTTACCCTGGAGAAGAATGAGGCTCATCCACACTTTTGCTTCTCCCATGCATAAGAAAGCATGAGTGATATTTTTTTCTGTTCGCCCTGCCACTTTCTCAGGAAAACCTGTTCTTTAGCACTAAATCACAGCAAACGTCAAATCACAGAAAACTCCATTGATGTTTGCTCTGATTCAATGGTAAAGACCAGGTTTCCCCTGTGGAAAGTGGTTAGACAAGCCATAGTTAGGATGTTATGATAGCCATCTTCAAATATCAGAAGGGCTGTGGCATAGAAGATGGAGGAAGCTTGTACTGTGGTACCTCAGGTTAAGTACTTAATTCGTTCTGGAGGTCCGTACTTAACCTGAAACTGTTCTTAACCTGAAGCACCACTTTAGCTAATGGGGCCTCCTGCTGCCGCCGCGCCACCAGAGCATGATTTCTGTTCTCATCCGGAAGCAAAGTTCTTAACCTGAAGCACTATTTCTGGGTTAGCAGAGCCTGTAACCTGAAGCATATGTAACCTGAAGCGTATGTAACCTGAAGCGTATGTAACCTGAAGCGTATGTAACCTGAGGTACCACTGTATTCTGTTGCTACAGAGGGTAGGATTCAAATTATAAGAATGGAGATTACTACTATTACAGTATTATTATTATTAATTACCCTTCACTCTAAGGCCCCCAGATAGTTTACAGCTTTAGAGTCGAATAATGAAACAATGTAAAATGGCTTGCAGTCATAAAAATAAGGTGGGTAGCACCCTTACCTTACCTTGGCCACAGTTATCCATGCAACGGTCACCTCCAAGCTTGACTACTGTAATTCGCTCTACGCAGAGCTGCCCTTGAAGCTGTCCCAGAAACTCCAGCGGGTGCAGAATGCTGCAGTGAGGCTCCTCACGGGGTCTCTGCCATGGGAGCAGATTCATCTGGTGCTTTTCCAGCTCCACTGGCTCCCAGTGGAGTACAGGGTCAGATTTAAGGTGCTGGATTTGACCTTTAAGGGATGCGGGTGGCACTGTGGGTAAAACCTCAGCGCCTAGGACTTGCTGATCGTAAGGTCGGCAGTTCGAATCCCCGCGGCGGGGTGAGCTCCCGGCGTTCGGTCCCAGCTCCTGCCCACCTAGCAGTTCGAAAGCACCCCTAAGTGCAAGTAGATAAATAGGTACCGCTTTATAGCGGGAAGGTAAACAGCGTTTCCGTGTGCGGCACTGGTGCTGGCTCGCCAGCTGCAGCTTCGTCACACTGGCCACGTGACCTGGAAGTGTCTTCAGACGGCGCCAGCTCCCGGCCTCTTGAGCGAGATGAGGGCGCAACCCTAGAGTCGGTCACGACTGGCCCGTACGGGCAGGGGTACCTTTACCTTTACCTATTTGACCTTTAAAACCCTTCACAGCCTAGGACCCTCATACCTACGGGACCGCCTCTCCCGGTATGCCCCACGGAGAGCCTCAAGGTCCATAAATAGCAACACCCTAGAGGTCCCAGGCCCTAAGGAAGTTAGATTAGCCTCAACCAGAGCCAGGGCCTTTTCAACACTGGCTCCAGCCTGGTGGAACGCTCTGCCTCATGAGACCAGGGCCCTGCAGGATCTGATTTCTTTCCGCAGGGCCTGTAAGACAGAGTTGTTCCACCTGGCCTTTGGCTTGGAGCCAATTTCATTCCTTCCCCCTCTTTCTTTTTCCTTTTTCCTTTCTCCTCCTGTGATGAGGCTGCATTTTAATATTTTAATGTTTCAATATTTTAATGTTGTACTTTAATCTTGTTTTTAAGTTGTATTCATTCAACTTGTTTTTATTATTGCTTGTTAGCTGCCCTGAGCTGAGCCCAGCCTTGGCTGGGGAGGGCGGGGTATAAATAAATTATTATTATTATTATTATTATTATTATTATTATTATTATTATCATCTTTCTGGTCACTGACCATATTAAAGATATTTGATTTATTATTATTATTATTATTATTATTATTATTATTATTAGTGGTGGTGGTGGTTAGCACTTACAGGGAAAAATCACTCATAAAGTAGCAGTACAGGGTGGGTTAGAAACCAGACACTTTCTCTGCCCAGTTGGTGGCCATTATTGCACATGAATGGAGAACACCATATTGGTTGCATCAGTACAGATCTGGGCTTCCTGACTTTGTTAGAACTATGCCCATGTGTGTCCTGTCTCCTTTGGTTCATGGAAACTATGATGATATGATATGCAAGAACCTTCTTGAAGGAATGACAGAGACAGTAAACAAACATGACTGAAGATCATATAATAGAATATAAAAAAGGTTAATACTTACCTGGCTTCTGCCAAGAGGAGGCAAGGAGGACGGATGTCCTCTTTTTCTCATTCTACAAATTTTAATGTGCTCACTTAACATGTATTACTGCAAAATCAAGAAAAATATTTTTGGGAGGGCAGAGCTAAACATCAGATTGACAGGAGTGGGCAAGACTCCACAGCACACCTGTATTATTTTGTGGCATGCAATACCAGAAATGCCTACCGCTGGTCTTGCCCCATTTCCTTCTCAAGGAAACAAAGCGCCAAACCTACAATGTTTGCAAATGTGTTTTAAATATTGTCCCAACAAAAAGTCATCCTAGCACCTTGGAGCAAAAAACCATGCTCAAATATTATTCTAAGGTGCCATCCCCAATGAAGAACTTTTCTCCCCACTTGTAATACTTTGAAATTAATCACCCACAACACTGTATTATTTGTCCATAAGCATCAAAGTATCTGGTGGCATCAAAGTAAGGGAGGCAAAAGTTCAATATTCCATATAGAATCTGGTATTAATCCACCAGTCATTCCTACCTGATACATTTTGTCTTGGTGTTCCAGGGAGCTTACACTGCATCGACCCAGGGGCGCCTGCCTGGACATCCTACGTGGCTTCGTTGCGAGGGTGTCCCAAGTTAAAGTCCACTCTGTGTCACGTCTCAGATGTCAGGACCCATATATCGGTAAGTGCAAAGGGTTAATCCAAAAGTCTTTGTGGTTCTTGTACTGAGTTAGTAAATTATTCAAATGACCTGAACATTAAAATTCAATTTCCCTTAATCTACGGAAGCACTGTGCTGTCAGATAAAACTAGCAGGTGAGCTTAAGATTAAGAAAGGGAACTAAGATTTAAGAGAGCTGTACAGCATGTTCTTAGAGAAATCATTCCTGTCGACTTAGTGAATAACACAGAGATGAAACATATTAAAAATCCTGGAATGAAGCTAAAAGTCAGATGTTGCAGTCTGAACTTTAGATATCTAAACCTGACCTAAAATTGCAGTTTCAGGTGGACTGGGATTTCACTTTGTAAGGCACACACTCATTCACAGTGCTATTTTTCTAGAAAAAGAGGTGCTGGAACTCACCATGAACGCCTCCTTTGTCCTCTTATAATGGAGGTGCAGGAACTGAGTTCTGGTGACTTCCATCTGAAGAAAAGCCCTGTCCATCCATGGTCCATACTTACCTCTCGGCAATGGAAGGTTTGTTTCAAGGTGATTCTGAGCTCGCCCACACTGCCACTTGTCCCATGCCTAGAATGCATATGTCTGAGCGTTTTTGCCTTTGCCCTGCCACTTTCCTCCAGAAAACCCATTTGTTCTGATCATAGGAGCCAATAAAATATTTGAGGGGGCTTGGCCCTCCTAAAGCTGATGGGCATTGCCATTCGAATGGTGTGTGTGTGTGTGTGCGCGCGCGCCAGTGCCACATCTTGTGATTGATAATGCAGGGCAAGGCTTACCTGCTCCTCCCCCCCCCCCATATTTCATTCAAGTTGGCGCCCCAGGTCAGAACTTAAAACACAGGTTGTCCCAGGAGCAAGTGGCAGAATGGCAATTTATTCTAGCCACTTCCTGGGTTCACTCCCCCGTGGTTTTCATGAAATGAGATGATCGTGTGCATTGAAATTGTCCAAAGACTAACACGCACTTCTTCTCCTTTCATGATAGCTGTTTGGGTAGATTGGGGTGGCAGAGGGCAGTCTGTGCTGAATAGCGCATTGAAGAGGCAACAGCTGACTGCAAATAATAATAGTAACACATGACTAGAAAGCATGGGACAAACTAAAAGCACGAGACAAGCGGAAGTGTGGACAAGCCGTCTGTCTGAACCCAGTCTTGATTAATTTCTCAGGCTCCTTTTAAACTTAGCGTATATGAAAGGAGGATACTCACTTGAAAGTCAAGCAGCGCCCTCTGCTGCCTATTTGTTTACTGTACTTTGTCTTTGGACATTTGACACTAGAGAAGCGCTGGAACCTATGCAGGTTTCTTTTTCAGCCATTTGTTGCTTGGGTTGCTCGCTAGCCTGATTTAAAGACTGAACATCAAAAGCCATAGAGGTGGGATAATATGTGAAGAATGCATATTCAAAATAGCTTTTGTTGAGTTTTGGAAATGCAGACACAGACACATCTCTCGTAACATTTTATGTAATTTCATACTGAATGAATGATAAATGAGAGTAATCAATATTTGGCCATGTGACTTACATCAACTTATTTCAAATTTCTTAAAATCCACCAATTGATAACATAGTTTGTTCAAAAGGAGCGGGGAGGAAATCTACATCATATAATTCAGTTGTCGTTGCACCTAATGCCTTTCAACTCTTATGCCAACCTTCCTTGACAGCCTTGGAACAATTTCAATAGCCAGAGACTCCTTGGCAATTTTCCTTGACAAATACCAGTAGTCAGTGTTCTGCAAATGCTCTGAAAGAGTTTAAGCATAAATGGCATTCAGCGTAGCATCCAGATGTTATGTATGCATGCATATATCGAAGCAAGGCCAATCGGAAGTGGCAGGAGGAAGGTCATCTGGCCTGGGGCCTCAAGCTCAATGGCAGTACCAGATTTAGACACTTGTTAATTTTTTGGCATTTGATAAATTTTGCAACCTTTGCAATGGCTTCATGTGTTTGCCTAAGCCCTAGCAGAACAGAGAAACACAGGGGTCGATATAAAAAGAGAAAAGCAGAAGAGCCTCTTAAAAAGCAGTGGAATTTTCTCAGCTCAGGCTGCTAAATCATTATTTTTAGAGCCTTCCTTCCCTGCCCCCAACACACACATGAAACATTTTTCTTTTCACATTTCCCGAAGGGGTGTGTGTGGGTGTGTGGGTGTGTGTGACAGAGGCGGTCGGATTGAGAGAGAGGACTGATTATTTCTCAGCTCCTACTACGGTGCTGACAGATCAATAAAACACACACCTCTGGCTGCCAAGTGCTGGGTATGGGATTTGCAAGCACCAAGCCACGTGGAGCACAGGGGTATTTAAAAGCCTATTACTTAGATTTACAGCTAGTACTTGTAGTCACTGAACAGCAAAATGGCATTCAGTGCCTAGCAGGGCTATTCTGAATAATTTGCCAGTGTTGACTTTCAGGTCCAAGAAACTCAGCCGTGAGAGAAATTTCTCTCAATTGTGTGAATATCCACTTTTTTCAGCACCATTGTTCCTCCCTCACTGCTGCTGGTATTTCACCACCATTTTTTCTGACTACTGTGATTTCTCCCTTCTGGATTAGCTGTGCAGCTAGTCCTCTGTGTACCTGAATGTGAAAACACCGGAGTGCAAGAGCCTTCTCAGATTCATTTAGTAAGGAGTTTGACATCCACAGGGCCACCACAGAAAAGACCATCTCCCCTGCTGGCCTACAAACAACGAGGGTTTCTGTTGTTGATCTTAATATATGGGCAGGTTGAGAGCCATGACATGAGAGACAGCGTGGTGTGAGTGGTTAGAGCATCAGGCTAAGACTTGGGTGATCAGGGTTCAAATCCCCTCTCAGGCATGAAGCTCACTGGGTGATCTTGCCTCTTAGCCTAACATGCCACAACTCCAGGCCCCCAGGTCACCCAATGTGTGTCATGGCTGAGTGGGGATTTTAACCCTGGTCTCTCCCAGGTCCTAGTCCAACACTTAAACTGCTGCACCACACTGGCTCTTAATGATAGGCAGGTGTGAGTTTGAGGCCCTGCATTCATTCATTCATTCTCTCTCTCTCTCTCTCTCTCTCTCACACACACACACACACACACACACCAGGAACCCAAACTAGTTTTGCTGAAAAGGCCAACCCTTCTCCTTTTTCCACATGATGCCACCAGAAGCTCATTCCCATCAAGTCCATGTGTTCGGAAAGAGTGTGATTTCACGCAGCATTTTAAATGAAGACTCATCTGTCAAAGGACAGCAGTGTTTGGCCAGAGCTCTTATAAATCCCCCTTAACAAGAGTTCTACCTACTCCTTGCTGCTTCCAGGTTGTAAAATTTAAAAAATCCACTTCAGACCCAATGAGCCATAACATCCTCTAGTCTAATCAGTACTGAGCAATAAGACAAGACACTCCAGTGGCCAAGTCAGTCAGGGTTTTATTTTCCCTTCTTCTTGTGCGAGGCCTGTTCAAAGTGTTTGTTCAAGAGGAAAATGAGCAAGACAAGGAGATGCTTATGTCTGGCTGTCATTGAAAAGCCCTGTTGTGGTGGCAGCATTCAAAGACATTGTCCAAGGTTAGTTTATGCATCTGCAATAACTGCCTTCTCATGGGCTAAAGGTTGCATGGCTCCTGACTTAACAAAATGAACCTCTGCTTTTTAATGGTGTATGAGGCTCCTTTCATTTGTTCCTGAAGACTAGGAATGGTAAGCTTCCTTTAATTTCTGTTGAGCACCTTGTTATTTATTCATATCATTCATGAATTGCTCCCTATGAGGCACCTCAGAGCGATTTATGCATATGTAAAACACACACACACACACACACACACACACACACACACCAGTTAAAATAATTGCACATATAAAAATAACTTAAAAACAAAAAATAAATACAATACAATTAAAAACAGCAAAAACAATTATGTGTATTCAATCAAAATCCAGTGCAATACAGATAGACAAGTTCCCCTACAAGTCTTGTTGAAAGAGGAAAGTCTTCAACAAGCGCCTGTCAAATATTTAGCAGGAGTGTGAGTGTCGCCACATTAAAGACCTAATTCCAATATTGTGATAAGATGGTATCTACTGGGTACCCTTGAGATGATCGATTGACAAAGTGAGATGATTATTTGACAATGTATGGGATAGGGTGACTTTTTGGTGTCCTGTTCTCAAGTTGTATAAGGCTTTGTATTCCAGCACCTTGAACTTAGTCTAGTAGCTAATTGGCAACCCATGCAGTTATTTCAGTAGTGGAGTAATATGGTTGTGATATTCCTGTAAAGCCCTACTTGCTTCAGTCCAAACCATCTGAAAGACCGTATTCCCTCATTTGAACCTGCCCTAGTTTTGACTTATTCAGAATATTGTAGGCGGAAGGAGTGTCTGGGTGAAAATCAGGGGGGAAAGGTCCGGGGAAATCCGGACATATGACAAGCCACGTTGGCCGTGTAGTTTTTGCTGCTTTTCCTTAAAAAATAGCTCAATGATGGGGACATAGGAGAGGGTCTCAATACTGCCTGTTCCCAGACTTTGCAGCTCTTTTCCTAGAGAAGCTAAACTAGCTCCCTCAATGTTGTCCTTCTGCCAGCAAGTGAAGACTTTATTCTTCCAACAAGATTTTGGGAATTGGCTGCTTTTAATGAAAGGGCTGGGGCCACGCTGTTCTTATTTGCATGGTTTTAATAGACTTTATATGTGTATATTAGTTTTACTTCTATAAATGTTTAATTACTTTTTAATTATTGGGTTCTCCCCCCCCCACCATGCTTTTAGCCGCTCTCATTTTTATATGAAAGCTGCCTTAAGTCCTGTCAGGGAAAAACAGCGGGATATATAAATAAATATATAATGATATCAATAATGATTTACCCACCCCAGTGAGCTGTCTATCTGGCCTGTTTTTTCACCAGTTGCATCTTCTTGTACCATGCATCTCAGGGCATTGTCTGAGGCCATGTGATGCAGCCACGTTGCTGAAACTAAGTCCATGCTTGGCTGGGAAAGTATACTACCTTGAGTGTCATGATGGAAGGACCGTGAATCTGAAACAGATTTAGGAGTTGCAGGGTGGTGCACAGGGAAAGAAGACGGTAGGAAAGTTCCATTGTGCTAGCAAAAATGTTTAGGTGGCTAGTCCCTATGTTTCTTTGGTATATGGCTGAATTCATATAGTGGCAAAGTGTCTATATTGCATTAAATGAATGATGGTGGTGATGAAAGTGGAACAACACTGTCTTTTCCCAGGAGCAAATCCCTACATTGTCATCAAGTGTGAGAATCAGAAAGTTCGTTCTCCTGTGCAGAAGAGCACCCTCAGTGCTATTTTCAATACACAAGCCATTTTCTACCAGAGGAACATTGCGAGCCCGATTGTTGTCCAGGTAAGAGAAATTATTACATTCCTACTTGTACCTGCTTTCTACTAGTTTCTTTCCTTCTCTTTCTTTTGTTTTCTTAAATTTCTATGGAACCCACAGCAGGGTAGCAGATATTAGTTATTTTATTTTAAAGTCTTTCTAAACTGCTTAAAAGTTTAAGCATTTCTGAACAGCATACAATAGTACAAATCAACTTAAAACAATATAATAAAAACAGAACTCCAACAATACAGGTTCCAGTTTAATGGATCATGGAAAGCACAATAATACATCATTAGAGGGTGATTCCCATATAGCCTCCCACCCAGACACTAACCTGACCTAGACCTGTTTAGTTTCAGCAAGGTGATGATTGTATGAGCCTTCATACCAAATCTTGAGGCATGTGACCGTAGCCTTGGATGTGCGGGACATTGTGCATGCATTCAATAGGGATTTTTCATTTAATTTTATTGATTTTTATGTGTTATGTTGTTTTAACCTATCTTCCTCCAAGGGGTACTCTTTCCCCTACCATTGTTTTTCTCGTGTCAACCGTTTAAGCAAGACTGGTATGTACTAAGCTTAGATCTTAGAACAATAGGCAGGTAGGAGCCTAGAATGCAACAACCTGATTGGCCTGCAGGAGCAGCTCAATCAGACCCCAGGAAGTTTATCAACCTATTAGGCCTGTAGAATCCTAGAATGCAACAACTGATTGGCCTGCAGCAGCAGCCCAATAAGGCTCCAGGAGGGAAACATAATCAACCAATCAGACGATACTCATTGTGTAAATAATGTATATAAAGCCTGAGTTCGGGGGGCGGGGGGATTCAATCACTGTTCCTATGAGCTGAAATAAAGAGCATGAAATTACTACTCGACTCTGAGTATATTTCAAAGACTAAATTAAAACTGGTTCAATGTCACTTAGGCTGTGTACACACTATAACTTAAAGCACATTTGAAGCAACCCTCCTCTGGGTAGTGTAGTTTATTAAGGGTTGCTGAGAACTGTAACTCTGTGAGAGGTGAACCACAGTGCCCAGAATCCTCTGATTGTGCTTTGAAAGCATAGTGTGTACACAGCCCAAGTGCGTTTTATGGGTATCCCCAGTCCTACAGAAGGCCAACATAGTTGATTTACTTACTTGTTACATTCACAGCCTGCTGTATATTATAATAAACATGCTTTTGTAAAAGTGTGCTTAATCAGACCAATTTTTTAGTTGGGGGGGGGGATGAAAAAGCAGTTGCAAAACTTCATTCTAGAATGCCCCCCTCCAAATGGTTTCCTGCTGTAAAGCTTGCCATAAACACTACCAGAGGCATTTAGTAACAGTTCAGGGTGATTTTTCAATAGGAAACTGGAGTGTGGCTCTGATCTGGACTGGGACTCCCTGCTTTTTCTTCAAATTACAAGTGGCCACCGTAGTACATTTTAACATAATAAAAAAGCAGGTATATTGTGATTGGCTGCAGGGAGCTTCCTGCAGCCAATCAGAAGCCGCGGAAGCCCTGTCAGATGTTCGGCTTCCAAAAATAGTTCGCAAACTGGAACAGTCACTTCCGGGTTTGCGGCGTTGGGGAGCCAAAATGTGTGAGAACAAAGCTGTTTGAAAACCAAGGTACAACTGTAGTAGATTTGCATGTGATAGGAATGGCTGTATGAAACACATGCATTTTAAAAGCCAGCGGAACGCCAGTGTAGATGGGGCCTTGTATACTCTGTATGTGTATATATGAAGAGAAGGTAAGTGAGAGGAAATCAGGATAACAAAGGATGCATGTGGTTAGATATACTAAACCTGCATTTTTACTTGGGCAAATCTGTCAGTAACAGTCTGCCAGTAACAGCAATGGTGCTAGCGAGGAATGGAGAACAGGGGTGTGAAAATGTTCCCCCTTAAAGCATCTTTTCTGTGATTTTGGGGGTGGCTTTCAGGGAGGTGAAAAACACACCACACATAGTTCCACGATCTGTATGTCTTTGTTAATTCCATCCTCTGCGGCTGTCATATAAGAGGGAAGACCGCTTTGCTGCAGGAGGGAACCTCTAAACAGTTTCAAACGCTTGCAGCCTGTAGCAGCAGCACATAGCTGTGTTGGGGACGCATCTTTCCCATCTGTGCAACAGTGATACACAAAACCCACAGAGGTCAAGGCGAGGTTGAAAGAGGAGAGCTCTTCCAATTGAGGACTTGTACAGATGACCTTTTGACCCTTTCCAGTCGCGGGAAGGGGGAGGGGTGCATGGGGAGGAAAATGCCAGCCCATCTAGCAGCAATTATTTCTCATTTCCTTCCTATCTCTGTAGGTTTGGCACAGCGGGCTCCTTTGCGACAAGTTCATGGGACAAGTGCGGATCTCGGTATCACCCAATTACCCCAGAAGTCTTCAGAAGTTCCAACTCCAGGACAGAGGGAGTCGCGAAGATTATGACATGCCAGGTCACATCACCATCAAGGTTGTTACTAGCGATGACCTCGTGGAGTTCTGAATTCTAAGGGCTGACAGGCAAGAGTTTCCAGTGAGCATCCGCAATGGGGATGGGGCAAGAGCCACTGATTTGCATGTTGGTGTGAAATGCTTTAAAATGCTTGGGGTGTTGTGTCTGGGTCCTACTTGGGCAACAACAAATGGCAAACAAAAGAGAAAGAAGCTGAGAGCAAATGTGCAGCCAAATATATCATTTGTCTTTCTCTTTCACCACACACATACACACACATACAGTATATATCTCCAAACGTATTTTCTATCACAGATAGCAGCTGCTTCCAGGCACCGGCTTCACTAGTGCAATTCACATGAAACCATTATAGCCTCGCAATGCATTTTAGCTGTTCTGCTAGAAAATAGCATTTCATCGGAACTTGGGTAGCTGCCTTATACCAACTATAGCTCAATATGGTCGACACTGACTGGCAGCAGTTCTCTGGGGTTTCAGACAGTGAGCTTCTTCCAGATGCTGGGGATTGGACCTGGGGCCTTCTGCATGCAAAGCAGATGCTCCACCACTGAGCTATGGTCCTTCCTCAACAGCACTGTTGAATATTGCTTCTAATAGTAAGAGTAGTTTCCTTTTAGTTGCATTAAGTAAATGCCTAGGTATTTGCTAAATATGACACAAACAATGACAAATCCCAGCATGGGAAAATCAAAGTTCTGGGATGCGAAACACAAGCTTTGCCATTCCTAATCCTAAACTGTGGGGAATGTAGTTTAAAGGATTGCATCTGTCCACATTGGGAAGGTATGCCTGCCTTCTATCTGAGCCAAGTGAATTGTATGACAGCTCTTGGGACAGAAAAATGAAAGGAATATGGATATGATAGCGGTTTATTGTACTGAGCCTTTTTTGCTCTGTTGCTTTTGTTTTCGATGCCTATCTGTTATCAGTTCAGAATACCATAACACACACGTAACCGTCTGTAAAGAAACATAACATTTATATATAATAAAACTGTAATCGTCATATCAAAAAATTGCAAAGCACAGTTCCTGGTGGCAATAACATATCATATTACTGTTAACCTTCTGTATGTTTTTATTGTCGTAAAGTCCAAAGATTGTGAAGTCCAACAATTACAATGTACAGTTCCTGTTGGCAATGCCATTTCATCCTGATGTCTTCCTTCTGCATAGTCCTATATCTTAAAAGTGTAACAAACAGAACCACTTAGTAACACTAAGGCAGCTGATGATAGACCAGTTCTCAGGATACACCCTTGTTTCACCCATTGATTGGGCTTCTTCAGCGACAAGGTTTCCAGGAGATTTTTCAGTGGGTTTTTTCAGACGAAATAGTCCACAGGAACGCAGAAGTTGCCAGTCAGAGATGCTCCGTATGAATGATCATTGAAACTAAACTATATAGGAGCAATCCCTGCAACGGGGAAGGTGCAGGCAATTAGAATTAAATATTCTTAAAGAGACCTAATTGCAATGATACCCAACCGATACAAATCCAAAAAGTCAAGTATTCCACATCTTCATTTATATACTATTACAACTTTATCAAACTTTTTCAATGAGGCTTAATCATCAATGGATCCCATCTGGCAAATGGTCATTGCGGTCTCCACTCCCTAATATTGATCATAAAAATATAAATTAATCTTAGGAGATTGTAACACCATTAATTACCTAAACACCTGTGTGTTGCAAGAAAGGATACATTTGCAGTAATTCAGACAACACAGGATATCTATAGAAGAAATAAGTAAAGTTAATCAAAGATATTCTAAGTAATAATCAATAGGTACAGGCAATTAGAATCTATCATTCTTAAAGGAACATAATCACAATAATATCCAACTAGTAGAGATCTAGTACATTAAGTTTTTTCCATCTTCATTAGTTTGCTTTTTTAAGATTTATCCAGTGTAAATTAATCATAAATAGATTCCACTTGCTAAATAGTCATTGCTGTCTCCACTGTTTATATTGCAATAATCAAACTATTAATATGTAACATCATTAATATCATTAATTACATAAATTACATCATTAATTACATAAATTACATCATTAATTACATAAATTATATCAGTAGAAACAGCCATGGCAAATGACTAGGTCAACACACACCACAATTGTCTTGTTACGTAAATCATGTTCAGAGTACCACAACGCACACGTAACTGGCTGTAAAGAAACATAACATTATATATAATAAAACTGTAATCATCATATCAAAAAATTGCAAAGCACAGTTCCTGGTAGCAATAACATATCATATTACTGTTAACCTTCTGTATGTTTTTATTGTCATGAAGTCCAAAGATTGTCAAGTCCAACGATTATCTGTTATCAGTGACAACATCTGAATAAAATGTATGCTTTTATTACTGAGTTGTGTCCAATGGTTGCATGAGTAAAAAATCGTTTGTACAACTCTCTCTTCCCCTCCTCCCACCTGCACCTTCCAAAAAACACTCTCCAGAGGGTTGACCCTTCAAAGTGGGGGTTGTGTAAATGGGCAGGGGCATAATCAGCTAGAGGAATCTTCTCGGCAGAAGTTCCACTTGCACAAGATCACTCAACTTTATTTCAGGTTACTTCCTCGCTCCCTTCCACTTGCTGGAGCTGGGAATTCCCATTTCGAGCCCCACCCCTAATCCAAGCCACCAAACCTCCTTGGAAAAAAGTATTGCCCCATTCTAGAAGAGCACCCCAAGATCAGCACATTTCCAGGCAAAGGTGCCTTTGACCCAGGCCCAGCCCACGAGTGTGGAAGCCTCCAGGGCCGGCCCAATGCCCAAATAAAGATCTACATCAGGATCTGCTGCACCTGGGGATTCTGCCGTCCACGAGGCTTCACCTTGTCTCATGGTTGGGCCGTCCGCACCCACCTCCCATCTCACCCTACCACCTCCACTAATAGCAGAGAAGCACTGCCACCAGCAGCACCAGTTTCCAGAGACATATCACAAGATCTCCCCTAAAACCGGAGTGGGGGGAGGTCTCTTCCTCCTTCCTCCTCATTTCCCCTACCTCTCTCCTATAGCAGAGATGTTGCCTCCCACTTCTCTGGTTCAGATTAACATTTGAGATGGAGAACGAATTGAAATTGCACAATCAGGATATGGGTGTACTTTATGAACATGCCAAATTTGTATTCCAAACCAGGCAATTCAGAGATTTGCTGACATCGATTGTTAGCAGACCTTGCAGCTTGATGGAATTACCGTAGTTTGGAATAATCACTTGCAGTTCTTGGAGTTCAAATGCTTTATTCATGAAGAAACTACAGGATGAATAGTGAGGAGAGTGAGAAACAGAAGACATATTGTCTCAACAAGCTAGGGATGAATGATAAACAAAATGGCTCAGCTTATAGGGGTGGAGTTAACGTAGACAAAGAGGCTTACGAACAAGTGCGGCCAGATTGCTAGACAAACAGTGCCCTCGTGTGGTTTACACATACATTAACTACAAACTCAAGAGAAGGAAATGTATTTGTTTTTCCTCCAACGTGGGTAAGCACAAGCTAGGGGAAAAGGGAACCCCCTGACCCTAAAGGACTTGCAATATAAATTTCAACAACAGCAGAGACACGAATGGGTGGGTAGTGGCAATGGTAACGATAGATGACTAATAGCAAGTGCATGTTCCTTAGTCTCATTTGTGGATGAGGACTAAACAGGTTAAGGATAACAGCTTCTCCAGAGCAGTCATCCTGATTTGTTTTGCACAAATTGTGCAGAATTTATAATATGCCCTCTGTTTATTGGGCATTTGCTTGCAGGGGAATTATACACCTTCTCATCAACCACTGGTTTATCACACGGTTTTTGGTGCATTTCCTCATCATTTTCATAACTGCAAAAAGTCATTTTAAAAAAGGGTGTATCCTGGAGGCTACTCATAGGTGCTGGATGTCTGGGGCCCAGGGTGCCCAAGTACCCACAAAATTCCCCATGAAGGGGCTGGGCCACCCACAAAATTTGGCACCAGGGTCATGCACGCAGCATGGCACCCACAGCCCTGGACACCCACAGTCGCAGGGCCAAGCTGGCACTCCTGAGGCTACTTATGGCTTCACAGCAAAGGTGGCCTTCATAGGATGTGAGAGGTTATGCTTGCCCCCTTTGGGAGTTCTTTGAACAGTGTTGGAGTGTGGAGCAGAACCATGTTAATTAGCCCTACCCTATTATTGCACATCCCTTCCTTGCTATCTATACACACATCACCAATATCTGTAGCGAGGGAGGGCCTTTGAGCCTATAGTTGTATATGTGAAGCAAGACAAGGATCCTTAAGAACAGAAGAAAAGCCCTGCTGAATCAGACCAGTTCCCCATCTACTCCAGCATCCTGTTTTCCTCCAGTTTAGACAGAGCCCCCTTTTTGAACTTGACCTGTGATTATTTCAAAGGTCAAATCTTCCTCGCTTGTCACCTGACATATAGCTGGCAGTCTGCATTTGGCTAAGCGGGTCTTGATTTTTGCATTTTTTCAAACCGGGTTGGGGCCTAACAAGCTGATGGTGATTTGGGATTTTACTTTACTTTATTGAGCACTCGCCACCTCTGGAAGCACCCTCCCCAACTTGACAATGAAAGTAAAATCCAATAAAGCGAGGGCACAGATTTAAATATTTGCATTAATTCGCTTCATATTCCTCAACGTGCACTGAGAGCCAAATCACCTCTGATTCACCCTGTTTAGAGGCTCAAACCAGTAGATTAACTCTAATTTTGTCCTGATTGGCTTGTAAGTGTTAATCTGAATTGACTTGCAGCTGACCTCCTGGTGCCTCTGCTGCTGGCTGCTCACTGGTGGTTTGCAAGTGCTGAGCTGAAGCTGCTGTTTGCATTCCTAACAACTTTGATCCAAAGGGGCCTCCTGACCCTGCAAAGTCTGCATGGATGGCAGAGTTTCCCTATCACAGCAGGTCAGCACAGCTATGGTGTGGGCTGCTTAAGTTCTGGGGATTTGCAGGATGTACATGTAAAGATGTGCAAGGCTTCTTCTTCTATTCCATTTCAGAATCCCATTCATCTTTCTTAAGAAAAAAAAAGAAAAAAGACTCGCTCACACTATGCATTTAAAGCACTCTTATACTGCTTTAAGAGACATGGCTTCCCCCAAAGAATCCTGGGAACTGTAGTTTGTTAAAGGTGCTGATAGTTGTTGAGAGACTCTTAACAAAGCATAGTTCCCAGAATTCTTTGCTTATGACCCGCATGTCCTATTATTTATAGGCTTGAATTTCCTGATTTTAATCCATGTTCTTTTTTCTTTGATTTTTAGGTTAGGCATTTCTTCATGGTTCCAAATCCCCCACCCCCAATTCAAAACCAGAAGCAAACAGGCTGGAGAGCGGCTGTTTATTATTACTACTATTCCTTATTTATCAGTATTATATTTTTATCCAATCCACCTTTCTTCCAAGAAGCTCAAGGTGGCATTTGTAGGTCTCCTTCCCCCCCATATTATCCTCTTGACAACCCTGTGAGATAGGTTAGGCTGAGAGAGCGTGACTGGCTCAGGGTGACCCAGCGAGTGTCATGGTTGATGTTAACCCTGGTTTCCCAGGTCCTAGTCCATGGGTAGGCAACCTAAGGCCCAGAGGCCAGATCCGGCCCAATCATCTAAATCCGGCCTGTGGACGGTCCGGGAATCAGTGTGTTTTTACATGAGTAGAATGTGTCCTTTTATTTAAAATGCATCTCTGGGTTACTTGTGGGCCATAGGAATTTGTTCTTTTTCCCCCTTCAAAATATAGTCCCGCCCCCCACAAGGTCTGAGGGACAGTGGACCGGCCGCCTGCTGAAAAAGTTTGCTGACTCCTGTCCTAGTCCATTGAATACCCCTCCATCTTATTCCATATCCTGGAAAAGAAATGTAGAAATTAATAAGCAGGGTGGGGGGGAATAACATTTTCTCGTGTAAGGAGTCTCTTGCTAGCAGCTTTAAGACCAGATCAGGCTGCAATCCTGTAGGCTACACGCATTGACAAAACGGCAATGTTTCCATGCTCCCTGCTTGGTTGCAAAGGAGGATACGGAGAGAACCAGAACAGGTGGGAAAGAATGTAACTTTTCTCCCAGCAATTGCAATGCTAGTGCATTACAGGGAGAAAATCAGAACAACATGGCCACACCCTTGTGACTGTTCTTTTGCCATGCTCCTTGACATTGCAGCTGCAGCAGGTCTTGTGGGCAGCAGCCACCACTGTCAGAAATCCTCCAAGGCTTGATTTCCCCCTCCTTGGCTACCTGGGAACTACCGTATGTCCCATTAACAAATGCATGGGTGCAGTGACCAGATGTGACCACACAATGGCAATCCTGTTCTATAGTTCACTGTCCACCCAGCTGCCTGAACAACTGTATTTAAGGCCGCGTCCAGGCTGCTTTTATTTTCGAATGGGATTCAGTCACATAATGGTAAATTAATAATTGCACTCACTTGATTGGGAAGCACTGTGCAACAAAGCCCCCCTTCCCAACAAAAAAGATAAGACTTTTGCAATAATGGGACAATGCATTGGGAAGCATGGACTAGCACCTCTTGCCACTACAGGATCTAGTCTCCTGCAAATGAGTCAGGATGAATGTTCAATAAACCAGTCATCTGGAAGCACTCAGCACTGTAATACTGAGATCCCTTGTGGTATTCAGATCTAAGAAGCTCCAAAGAAGATGCTAAAACTTTCTTTTATTCACACTGGGTGAAGGACTTGGAGAATATCATTCAGGTCTTTAAGGTTCAAGAGGGATCTTTGAGCCTGAGCATCCCACTTCCAAACCAAACACATTAGCCCCCACACCCAGGGGCAAAGGCTAACCGGCACCCAGTGTGGGATGTTGGGGGCGGGGCAAACTGACCAGCGGTGTGCGCGCCGTACATAGCGGTACTGTGCATACGCCGCCAGGCTGTTTTCTCACGGCGCCACTCGAGTGCCGTGCGGATGGTGGTGGGATCTTCTGCTCGTGGCGGCAGCGGCGGTAGAGGGATTCTCTGCATGTGACTGTGGCGGTGTGATGGCAGTGGCTCGCACCGCCGCACCCAGGGCGACTGCTCCCCTGCCCCCTTCCTCTACCACTGCCCACACCACACTAGGTCTCAGGTTTGATTTCCTGTTTCTCTGCCATAGCAGTTTCTCTCCCATGAAGCATTGAAAGCAACAAAGAGCAACAAAAAGAAAGCATAAATGTATAGGTTAGGGTGTCAGGGGTGTGTTTTAGGAATTACTGGCACCATAACTGGCTAGTCATGCACCATTTTCTTAACACATACTGTTCTAGTGGTCATAGGAGTAGGATAGGAAGACACATGGCACCAACAGGCTACTGTACATGTTGCATTAATGAAGGGGGGGGCATCTCAGGCCCATG